TCCCTTGCCTTCTGGGGCGTTCCTGAAAGTAATACTCAGGTACGCCCCTCTCATTAGTGTGTCCCTAGGCGTTTGCTCTAGACGTTATGGATTGATGAAAATATCTAAGGATACCTAAAGAAGAAAGAAGGGGAAGAAAAGAAAGAAAGAGAGAAGGAGAGAGAATGAGGGAGAAAGAAAGAGAAAGAGAAAAGGACAATATATTCCCAAATGGGAATCCTTCCCTTTTGGTATGTTCTTAGACGTTTGTGCCGTAGCTGGGTGCACCTTCGTTTCTTCCTTTCTTTCCTTTTCTTCTCTTCCCCCGTCGTTTGTTCCCTTTCATTTGGTTCCCCTTTCGTTGACCCCCACAGACGTCTTCACTCCTTTTCTTTCATATCTTTGTCTTCATGTCTTGCGCGCCCTTTCCTCCGGACCTTAGCTTATACTCATACACGCATGCGTATTCTACTTACAACTAGGTTCAGGTGGCCCAGGTTTGTTACAATGAGGTTTGGCTCATCGGTTATCCCTCTTCATTTGGTTCTTTTTCATCGGCAATTACAGATATTTTTCGTCTGTCTCATTTTCATTTGTTTCCTTTGCGTGCATATGTGCTTCGCATAACCTCCTTTCCCGATAAGATGGGGGTGCCTCCTTTCCGGACAAGATGGAGGCCACACATACCTCCCTTCGGGTGTGTGTGTGTGTAACCCTTAGATTCACAGGGAATCTTTCGGTATTGTGCAGGGGGTCAGGCCTGTCACATCCGACCTGGCCCAACGAAGCTGGGATATGAAAGGGGAAACATCAAGGGACGCCTTGATGTGTACCTACATGTTATTTTTCTATGTTAAACGGTATTTGCAAGCATATTTCAATTTGGTGTTGTTTTGTATTTATGTCTTGTAAATTTGTAGCGCTGGCCCCCCCAACCTGGCACTATGGCTTCCAATTTATTAGCGACGACCTCCAACCTTAGGCGTTGGCATCCAATTTCCTTGTGATGGCCTCCAACCTAAAAGCGATGGCCTTTAACTTATTATTGTCCTCTTGATATCTCATGTTTTTTAATTCAGGTCGGCGTGTGGCAAACCGCTTTCAAATTAATATGCAATTCTATAAGAGTGTGTGTGTGTGTGTCACCCCCTGTATCTAAGGGTTCCACCTTTGTAACTAAGAGTTTTTGAATGCAGGGGGCCATCCCCCTCCCCAGTGGCGGATGGCCAACGAAGAGGCCACTGGGGGGGCTGCAAACGTACCTGCCGAACTGTTGTACAAGCTGTCACTCCACCCTTTCTTTGTTTGTTTTCATGGTGGTTCATGCTACTTCCCCTAAACCCTTTCCCTCGCCGCTCGCGCGCGTCGTCGTCGCACCACTGCAGATGAGAAACCTCAATG